AAAAAAATAAAGTTAGAGCCCCCCCCAATGAAAATGTCAAAGCAAAGGTCTGCCATAACCTCTCTTGACTAAAGTTTAATTTTTAATCTCTCCATAAAATCAGGAAATTCATTTGTGATGTGAACTGTGGCTTCTTAAACTATAGTAATATATAGAAAGCCTTAGACCCAAAGATATGGAAAGATGTTTATCAAAAGATAGATATTTTTAAAAAACTATCCCAAAGATTAATTTATCAAACGACACCTCTTCCTTCCACTCCTACTCTAGCCACTAGTTTCAACAATTTCTACTTGAGAAATTGTTGTGCTATTAATTTCACTGGAATCTATGGAGCTCCATATCTACTTTTGAATTACTTGAATGAAGAAATTAATTTTAATAAAACATTATTCCTTTTTTTGTTGTTTTTTTTAAATTTTATTATGTTATGTTAGTCACCATACAATGCACCATTAGTTTTTGATGTGGTGATCCACAATCCATTGTCTTCGTATAACACCCAGTGCTCCATGCAGTACGTGCCCTCCTTAATACCCATCACCAGGCTAACCCATCCCCCCACCCCCCCTCCCCTCTACAACTCTCAGTCTGTGTCTCAGAGTCCATAGTCTCTCATGGTTCATCTCTCCCTCCGATTCCCCCCCCTTCATTTTTCATTATTCTTTTTTTTTTTAAACATTTTATTTATTTATTTGACAGAGAGAGAGGCAGATAGTGAGAGAGAGAGAGCACACGCGGGGGAGCGGCAGGCAGGCAGAAGGAGAGGGAGAAGCAGGCTCCCTGCTGAGCAAGGAGCCCAATGCGGGACTCAATCCCAGGACCCTGGGATCATGACCTGAGCCAAAGGCAGCCGCTTAACTGACTGAGCCACCCAGGCGCCCCCATTTTTCCTTATTTTTTTTTTTAAAGATTTATTTTTTATTTATTTTGAGAGAGTGAGAATGAGAGAGAGAGAGAGAGAGAGCACATGAGAGGAGGGAGGGCCAGAGGGAGAAGCAGACTCCCCGCTGAGCGGGGAGCCTGTTGTGGGACTCGATCCCGGGACTCCAGGATCATGACCCGAGCCGAAGGCAGTCGCGCAACCAACTGAGCCACCCAGGTGCCCTCCTTATTTTTAACAAAAAGTTATGCCTTTAATTTTTGCATCTGCTTTGTCCTACCTACATCTATTGTTAACAAAATTGGTGGTATTTATCAGTGTATATATTATTTGCAATAAAAATCCTAAATTTACTTATCTTTTATAGTCATGTTCAAATGCCATGTCCACCAAAAGTGTTACTGATTTTACCAGCTCAATATGATCTCAAACAAGGGGTAACCAGCCAGCAAACTGGTGAAAAATAAAAGAAAGCTCAACTGGTATCCAAGGAAGAAGAATCAGGGCTTGAGAAAATATCTGAAGGAGTGGCCCAAAACAAAAATAGGAATCTTAGTGAAAAGTTAATGAAAGATAATAGATAAAATAATAGAAGTGTTAGCAGGCAGAGCCTGGAAAGATCCCAAGGGAATAGTATATAGTAAGATGTCTTTGACTAAAGCCCAGGGGTAAAAGTTCTTAAAGGTTCTGTATCCTTTGGGACACTTACGAGCAAAGGATATGTCTTACATAACTAAATTTAGAGTCAGAATAGCTGGGTTCAAGTGCAAGCTCTGATATTTTCCAGCTGTATGACTTGGCAAGGCAATCACTCTAATTTCAGTTTCCTTTCCGATGAAAAAGTGGTAACACCTATTTCACAAGGTCATTCTAAAGACTAAATAATTTATGTGAAAGCATTTCACAAACTTTAAAACTACAAATGTTAGGTATTATTAAAATACCATACTATGCTGCTTTGTTAATTAATTTTGCTCATTTTTTACCTTGGAAAATTTCCCAGATACATATTTAAGAATGAACATTTATGATTGGGTACTGGTCATTTTACCTCAATACTTAAAAAATTTGAATATGTAAGTGCTGAATGGCACTGTTCCACTACAATTTTATTTCTCAGTATAAATTTGGCCAGTAATATTTTTCTGCTTTCATTGTTATAGAAAAAGCAATCTCCTGCTCTCAACTGTGTGTGTGTGTCCTCGTCCATAATTACCTATTGGGCATTACCCAAGCCGCTCCAGACAAAACTTATTAAATATTTTCTTGACTAATCTTCAATTTTATCAAGAAGTTGTAATGGGACACTGTTCAAAAGTATAAGTTCCATATCATTTGCTTAATTAGTGGAACATTTTCTTACTCTTTCCCCAAAATATTATGAAAAAAAAACTTTAAAAATGAAGATTTTTAAAAGGTAACAAAGAGCAATAAACAGAAATGGGAAAATATTGACTTATGAGGAGTCTCTAAAGAGAGAATTTTTAGTAATACCATTAAAGTTCGACTAGAAGATGAAAAAATGAAATATTTGATCTAAGGTCCTAAGACACACCATCAATTTAAGTTCTGGTGTTCAACAAATCAGGTCTGAGTTACGCTTGTGTGAATAACAAATACATTAAGTTTATACACTTGCAAAACAGTGGGGCTTTATACAACATAAAATATATTCTACATTAGGATAAATAATGCATAAGCAATTAATAATAAATCATATGGAAACTAAAAATAAAAACCATCATGTTGTACAACCTAAATATATACAATTGAATACAATATAATTTGTCAATCATACTTCAATAAAGTTTGTGGGGGGAGGACTAACACAAATCATAAGAAAAAAAGAGAACTGAAAACAGTACTAAATTTAGATTTAGGATGATCTTCATCAGGACCTTTTCTATACTGGCACATTATGATTGCTTATTCATGAAAGGGGAAATAAAAAGAAATGAAAGTGGAAGTAACTATCAATTCAATAATTTAAATTAAAATTAAGGATGATAATTGAAGTGGTTGCTGCTAGAATTTTACACTACTATTTTTAAGATTCTGAATAAATTTGTTATTTACAAGTCTCTGGATAAATTTAAGTACCTCAGAGGGGGGAAAATAGAAGCTCTACTTGAATATAAGACTGAAACTCCTTTACTAAATACTTTCTAATATAACAGTTTCTGGAATATTATTAGCCAATGCCAAACAACAATTAAGAATAAATTAATAAGAGAAGGTAATTAAAATAAGTGAGTTTACAGTCTTTGCTAATTCAAACAGTCTAGAAGCTAAAACTCCTATGTATCAACAATTTCTCCTTTAAAACATAATGCTAAAACACCGGGTATAAGTAGGGTTTAAGTATATACAAAAGTGAGTAAATACTAAATAGTCAGTAAAAAATAACTTCCAACCCTTACATTTCTAGGAATCAAGTGATAACCCAAAAAAATATCAAAATCTAATACAATTAGTAAGAATTTTAAAAGTAACTCAGCTGAAATTTCACAGTTTGTATCGTTACATTAAAAATTCCAGGAGAAGCATTTGGGTGGCTCAGTCAGTTAAGCATCTGACTCCTGATCCCAGCTCAGGTCTCTATCTCATGGTCATGAGTTCAAGCCCCATGTTGGGCTCCATGCTGGGCATGGACCCTACTTAAAAATTAATTAATTAAAATCAAATAAATAATTTAAGATGTTTTTGATCAGTCCTTTGCTTTGAAATCATCCCCAAAAAACATATATAGCTTTTCACAATAATACACATATATTTTTGGGGGCACCTGGGTGGCTCAGTCGGTTAAGCATCTGCCTTCGGCTCAGGTCATGATCCCAGGGTCCTGGGATGGAGCCCCACATCAGGCTCCTTGCTCAGCAGGGAACCTGCTTCTCCCTCCCCTCCCCGCTCGTGCTCTCTCTATCTCTGTCTCTCTTGCTTTCAAATAAATAAAAATCTTTAAAAAAAAAAACATATATTTTTTAAAAACCTATGTGTTGATAATTTTTAATAACTACTAATATTTTTAGCATTTAAGAAAATATATTCATTTTTCAAAAGAATAAATTATGTATTTTAAGCAATTTTTATTTTCTGTACTGATCATGTTAGGTAATATTTTAACTCCAGTGATTTGGGACAAATAATTAGCTGTACTTGACATTAAGTAATATTACCCCTAGTATTCACATTAATTCTCTAAAACAATGACTAAATAGTGATAGCATCAAAACCATATTCATGAAGAATCTACATTAAGTTCCAAATGACACTTCTCTCAAACTTACCCTTACAAAAAAGTATTGAAGAATCATGTTCATTTTACTATATAAAGTATATTCATAAATAAAACATCCATAATTTTAATACATTTTAATGTCCACATCGAAATACAGTACAAATGCCTTCATTAACTAACAGCAGCACTGTATATTATAGGAATCTGTAGGCAACACAAACTATTTTTATATAAAGATTTTCTTTAATCTAGACAATGTAAAAATTCTTTTAAGAAATTTAAGTTTGAAGGTAATTTTTTATAGCCAAGGATACCACACTGTTTAATTCTGAGCCAATGTAAATCTGATCTATGGGTATGGCATTTATTTACTGAGTAATCATAGTACAGAAAAAGCTAAATATTCATATGATTCTTTTAAGTACAAGATTAGCCATTTAAAGCATATAATCACTATTAAAACTGATTATATGTAACATAGAAAGAATCTGAAAATACATCAAAAGACCACTTTGCCTGTATAGGCTTTCAAAAATGACATAATTTAAAATGTTTTTAAAATAAAAATGTTTTTAAATTTATACTGTTTACTACTTACTTAAGCAAGACCTTTTGCCAGCTGTGCTTGCACCACCTGAACACAAATTGCCTCCCCGATGAATTAATTCAAGCTCCAAATTGGTTCTGTAAGTAAAGCATTAAAATATATCTCAATTAGGCTGAAGCAATACTTTTTAATTTGTTTTATTGATATGTCTGAATCAACCTAAATAATAAAGTTGAAGAACTTCATGAATAGTTTATGGAATATCCATAAGAATATTTTATCTGATATTTAGAAATAAAAAGGGAAACAGTTTATCTAACCTTATACGTTCATATATATAACCTGCAAAACTGCACACATCATGATGTAACTGCTGCAAAACCCCAAATGTTGGCAAATACTAAAAACTGGGCCTTAAGAAAAACAACAGCAACACATTTCATAAACCTGCACGTAAATCTGATGAAAGAGCTTGTACCCAACTGTTAGTGACTGAGTAGTAGGTGGTTACTGCCATCTAAAACACGAGGGCATACCAACTTTTCTATCAGAGAAATGGTTATCACTCACTGGAGCTTAGATGGTATCTAGAAATCAGTATTAAACAAAATCACTAACATCAAAGTAGCTATGAACAACACATATAATTAACAGCAGACTCTTCTTGGACTTCTAAAATAACAGTTTTACTAAAGTACATTGTGTAACTACTGGCACTGCTAAACATCAAAAAAGTTCATACAGATCTGAAATTATAATATATTTAGCAATTATTAGCTTACAGATTAGTAATAACTAGTGAATTGACATTTTAAAAATCAAATTGTTGCAGAATCTAAAGATTTACTCAAAAACAATACAATAAAATAGCCAGTGAATTTTGCCAGAATAAATGAAAATTCTGGATGATAAAATGCGTGTATTTTTAAACAGTATTAATAAACTTAAACACACCTTTATTTGCCACTACTAAAACTGAATAAACTAATTTATATCCAAGATATGCATTTGACACTAACAGTGAGATATCCCTGTCTTTAAAAAAAAAAAAAAAAGGCAAAATTTCAAGCTTTCTCTGCAAATGAATTCAAGGAAGAAGGAAGAATATGATCCTATTTTACTTAAAATAAAACAGTTTGAACTGGTTTGGGTTGTACTTTTAACACAAAATATTTTGAAACATTATTTTCATGTATTTACTTACAAATGCAAACTGTTAACAAAATTAATATTCTTCAATCTGTACATTTGCCACCCATTTTTAAAGGAATGCTTTAATCCTCTCTACTGGTGTGGGGGAAAAGCAATTTAACATTGATAATGTTCCTGCTCAGAGCTCCATCTGGTTGCTGCTGATAAGGGCATCTGTGTGACAAGGGAATTTTCCACCCTTCAGGCGATTTGCATTGCTCACTGAACTTCTAAAAACCTACCAGCAAGGAAGCAGGGACAAGGATTTCATATTAGTGGACAGAAAGCGAGCGGAGACCAGCATGTGTTCCTTCATCAGGGGAATATAAATGAGATCAATATATTTTGTTTTCACAAATCTTCTGTTGCCTAATCTGTAGAAAAAAATTAACGGCTATATTCTCTTATAAAAACTAAGATTTCCTAGATTGTACTTTTAAAAGAGCTAACCAGAAACATGATCAATTCTTACAAACGAATGTCAGAACCAGAATGTCAACTTTTATTTTAGCAGTTTGCAAAAATATTCATTAAAATATAAATACAAGAACATTTCTATTTATTCAATCGTCAAATAAAATACTTTAAAGGATGACAAACATGTTACCAGGAATCTGATTTTAAATACTTGAAAGAAAACTACTAAATCTAATTAATTGTTTCAGATTATGGTTAGAAAATCTCCTGTAAAACATTCCTTCTGACGTTAAAAAAGAAAGGAAAAAAAAAAAAAACCCTACCTATCCAAAGGGTTAGTATCATGTAATAATCTAGAACTTTAAAAATCAATATGTCAGAGACCCTAACCCTCAGTTCTTCCTTATTTTATTTACATCAAAACTGGCCCTTTGAGACTTGTTAGAGAAACAAACATACAAACGTGTCACATGCCCCATGTCTGATCTTCCTTCACTCTTGAAAATCCCAACACAATATTCTTTTTCTGCCCTCATGAATGGATGATTATAAAGATTGTTCTCGAGAAAAGTAGACTCTACTGTTTATATTCCTAACACAAATCCATTCAAATTAGTTTGGAAAAAAAAAATCTCTGTAACAGAAACAATAATGAGAAAGATTGCTTACAGCTATCTTGGTGACCACCTACACACTCCATTTAAAAACTCCAACTATGCTCCAGCTTCTTTTTGCATGACCAAGGTCTGCTTTCCCTTCTACCCCCCTCCACCCTCCTGTGGTATGAACTTCTACTTTTAGAACTATAATTTGAAAAACAAATGTGTGTATACACATGCACACACAGAGACATTCAAACGCACACTGGTATCGGTGTGGGTTTAAGGCCTGAGCCTACCACTTACTGGTTAAGCAAGTTACTCAGTATCTCAGAGAGAAAAAATAATCTTTGTCCATACCATCGCCTATATTAAACAAGACTCAGCTCAAGCTCTAACTCTTCCAGGAGTTAGGGAGAACTAATTCCCTTTTCTTGAGACAGGAAAGAAACATTTCCACATACTTTATATTTCAATTTGTTCATCTTCCCTTTTAAATTTTTATAGCATTTTTTCAATATTATATTTTTAAAACAAACTATATTCTGTTTTATACAGATTGATGTATATTGGTTTTGTCTCTCCAACTAAACGGTAATAAATTCCTGGAGAGCCGGGACCATTTTAGATAAAGCTTCTAAATCCCTGATGGTACATAGCAAAGTGCTCAAAAACACCTTAGGAACCAGAAATCTCTTTGTTTGGGTATGGAACCAATGATAAGATTTCTTTAGTCCCCATAGCTTATTCTCTTTCTTTTGTTGACCCTTCCTTCTACTCCCTTAAATCCAGCAGTGAAACAAGAAAATGGGGGAGGGGGGGAGGTGTTTTATCAAAGAATTTCTTGGCTTTAAAAAGGATTCATAATTTGGTATTTTAGCAAGCATTCCTTTTATTTTGAACATACTTAGGTTATAAAGTTTAAACTTACAATGCAACTAATATCTAAAGTAAGTTGCACTCACTCTAATGAGTTTACCCACTGTGACTGAAGGATATCTCTCCATCTACATCTCAGTTATTCATGTTTCATCTTCTTTCCATTTCCATGTTTCTCACTATATACAGGCCAAGTGTTACTCACCAATACCTCTAGGCTTTATGTAACATGAGTCCAAAATCCTTGGAAAAATCAATTACTAAAATTAGTGTCATTTATTGTTTCAATAAAGAAACAATGAATTGGTATTTAATTGAGGAAAAGCTTTCCTCACCCAAATTAACCTTCCATAATCCATCTGAACGACTTGTATTTGCAACAGACCGTTTTTTTGGAAATACAATAAAACTTGAATATAGTAATTTTGATTAATTTATGTAAGAGAAAGATATCATTCCAACAGTTTCTTCTCTGCTGCCCTCAAAAAATCCTCCAAGGCTTTACCATGCATATAAAATAAAAAACAAAGAGATAAATTGCCCTACAAAAAAACCCAAAAACAAAACAAACAAAAAATCCTCTAAAACAATTATTAAAATTAACAGCTTTACAGGCTACTTAACCACTAGAAATATTTTTTTCCTAAACAACAAAAAATTTAAGTTCCCTGAAGAGCAAACTAAATTACTCATTCAGTGGGGAGAAATTCATGTCTGGGAAACAGCTGTATTCCATTCAAATTTCTAATGTCAAATACAAATAAATGTGCACATTCTAATGAATTACACATTTAAGAATCACAATATTTAATTCAAAAGTTAAATAACTCGAAATAAGTTTATTTCTAAATATTTCACTTAAACATTTAAACATTTTAAATATTATCAAATATTTTAATGCCTACCTTTTAGGCATGAAAATAATCATAATCTGTAATCATACATATTTATGAAATAAGGTTATATGCTAGGCATAAGATATATATAAAGACCTGTTTCTTACCTTGAGAAAATTACTATTCAAATAGGATACAACATCCTTTTTTCCCCCAATTCATGTTTTTGTTAATTTTTTAGCTAATTTGGTTTTTGTTTTCTTTTTAATAACTAAGTAAAATTTAGAGAAGGCATGCAATCTCACTGTGAGAACTTCACAATGGCCTGGGTAACTTTAACCAAAGTTTTTCAAGGGTTACATACTCTCATTTTCAGAAGCATTATCTTGTTGCTTTAGAGTTTATCATAAGCAATCAGAGAAAAATGGGAGGAGAGAACACATTTTCTGTTTCTCTATATACATCCACAGTAAATAACATTTGATATCTGTCCCTGTTTCTCAATAAAAGAGAAAAGCCAAAATACGTTGACCAAAAAGTCTCCTATTACCACGGCAAGCTATATATAAGGTATTTATATATTTAAGAAAATAAGAATTTATATATTCAAGAAATAGGAATCTAAAACTTCCACTAAACTAAATTTAAATCAAGTTATTTGATTTATCATGCTATAGAAAAAGTCCATGGACAGATCATTCCTATTCACCTAGAATTTTCTTACTGGATCAGTCCTAAGAAAATAAAAGGCATAAATACATAAGCAGCATAAATGTAGTATTTATACACATACACACACAAACATACACATCTATATAAACAGACACATATATACATGGCATAACTGAGTTGGTCTACATTCATCTCAATTTTCTACAACATTATTACTGCAACATTGTACAGAAGTTTTTTAAAACCTTGAAACCATGGCAAAATTAAATCATATTCAATTTAGTTTTCACATAAAGTGTATTTTATTGCAAGTATGCAGCTGGTAACTCTCCAGACACAAAATGTTGAATTAACTGTTACATCTTCTCTGAAACATTCTAGATAAATAACAACAATATAGAAAGTTACTTCCCAATCCATTAGAGATCCTTTTACATCAATCCATGTCCAGCTTTTGCATTCTTAAACTAAAGACTAATGTTTCCTTATCTTGAGCTCTAACTTGCTTGCAATTTTCCTAAGTCTGGTTCCTTTTTTCCTGGGTTCTAAAGACTACATATAATTCATTTACTCTTGTTACCCTCTGGTCCATGAATGGGGCAGAGAGACTGGCCCTGGTGAACTGCATGCACATATGACCTATAAAAGATGAATACAGGGGAGGAAAAAGGAGGACAGAAATTGAAAGAACAATAGATCTTGACTCAGAGATCTGAGTTCTAGTACTACATGCCACTAATTTGCTGCATGACATTCAAGTTATATTATCTCTCTAAATCTTACCTATTATAATACTACTTGGGACAAGAAAAAAAAAAGTATGCCTCTAGGGATATCCAGCGGTCTACATCAATTCTGGCAGAATGTGTTTACAAGTTTCTTATTGTGCCTGCTTCTTCCCTGTTTACTTCTTTTATGGTTCTCCATTTTCATTCAATTAAGTTTTCTAAAATCCCTGTTTGGAACCATTTCTTAGGTACTGAACACCCACTCAGTCAATTTTAGACTAATCCTACCTAATTTGAAAGATGAGGAGTATTTACCTCTGTTTTCTTGAGCCCCCTGCTAGCTACTAAAGCTTAGAACTTGCCTGATCTTTTGCTCCATCTCCCTTATCTGATTTTCTAAATGACCTACAGGATATTACTAGATATTTTACTAGCTTAGGACAAACAAAGTAGTTCTTATAAATTAAAAACAAATTAAAAGTGTTTAACATATTACAATGTTTTTGTTTTCAGTATTATTACTTTTTGACAGGACTTGAACAGTGATTTCTTAACAAGACCCTTCATATTTAATACTGACATGCTTTGAGATAGACATCTGTCCCAAAATGTTAATAATACACTTTTTCCTACATATTCTATAATAAATAATAACACTTCACCCAGTATTTCATGAAAATAAAAACTCTTCAGAAAATGAAGAAAACCTACATTTTTATGATCCTTTGAGAAGGTTCTAAAACTAGCCATAATTTCAACCACCATAAAAAATACACATCCTTTTTTCAAATAAATATTAATGGCACAAATAAAACAAAAAACCAACTATTCAGAATAAGTAAATATTACAGTATATACCATGTATACCTACCTAGCAACAGAATACATAAAGAGAAAATCATTGTCTGGTGAACCTGGGGTCTTGCTATAGTCTCTATATTTTTTCTGAGTGGTATTTTTGATATCTTTCATTACAGATTCCATTTCTTTACTTAAGTTGGTTTCTGACTGTAAAAAATGCAAACATACATATAAAGTTTATTCATATTCATTTTCTCTAATATAGTCTAACACTACAATGTTTATCATACGAATACATTAAGAAATTAAAGTTAAAAGTTAAAACAGATGTACATGAGCTATCCACTATAAATACATTTAGTGCACAAAGATAAAATAGACCAAGAAATATCTTCTCCTATTTTATCCTAATTCTATATTGTGACTGGTTAGCCTATAATCTAACCATGACCTAACCACACAAACCTATATTCTAAACAAATGAGTAGGTGTCATTAATATTTTAGAACAGTATTCATGTTTATAAACAATCTGACTTCATTTAAGTTCACTTCTCAAAGACTAATATTGATGTCCCTTGCTTTAAGCTTATTTTAAACACATAAAAATTTGGATTTACAAAACAAAAAAACCACAGACTCTAAAATTAGTCTTCAACTGAGAAAAGAAACTGCAAGGAAATAAATCCTTGAGTAGCTTTTAACTATGAATTTCTGTTTCAAAAGTCAATAGTTTTCATAAATTTATTGCTTAAACTAGGTACAGCTATCACTTCTTTCTGTATCATACATCTATAATGAAGGTAAAATATTTAAATATTTAAATCAAATAAATAAATCCTACTGGATGGGATAAAAGATGGGTTCACTTACACCAAATCCCAGAGTAAAACAGACTGACTTACAGTGAATCAAGTATATGATACTTTATCTGATACATACACACATGAAGTGTTATATAAATCTATAATTACACATATATAAAGTGTGTGTGTATATGTAAATGTATCATCTTAATCCTATTATACCTGATGGGCATATTTTTAAGTGATTAGCCTATGCTTTACATGCAAGATACATATATATGTAATTTATTTGTTTGGCTTTGTTTTTATTTTTTATTTTTTTTCACTTGTTTGGCTTTGTTTTTAAAGATTTCAGCATCTTAAAAGAGTCTAACCATATCTAAGCTTATAGGATTTCACAATCTGGAAGATGTATATTAAAAGTATAACAATTTGGACTAAGGAAAAGTATAGCCTTTGGTAATAACTTGTTCCATTATTCTCATTTTTGTTTTTAATAACCACAAACAGAAAAGAAAAACATCTAAAAGCAACTGCTTTTAAATGTTTAAAGGTCCAGAGTAATTTAGAAAGGAATGAAAATGAAAGGAACGAAAATGAGAGCTGAAAGCAGAGCTGAGTTTACCAGGATATTTCTGCCTTACACTGATGCTTACTGGGAAAGCTCCTGGCCGTCCCTGCAGCTCTTCCACTTCCTTTATGAGATCTTGTATGCTTTTGTTACTAGGACGTTGCCAAAGGTTACTTTCCACACTGCTCCCAGGATAACAAGGAAGAACACTGTTAGCAAACTGCCTACAGAGAGGACACGTGAATTCTCCTTTGTCCACTGAGAAGCCCTGAAGAACCTGGTCATTCTAAAAGATGAAATAAACATACAGATTTATAATGTACACCTTTACAGAAAACAAAAAATTTACATCATTACACTTTATAGTAAACAAATGAACCATGCAAAAAAAAAAAATCTCTAATATATGTCATACATAAAGTCTCTTGATGTAATGAGCACTGGGTGTTATATGCAACTGATGAATCACTAAGCTCTACCTCTGAAACTAATAATACACTATATATTAATTAATCGAATTTAAATAAAAAAAAAAAAGAAAGAAAGAGGGGCGCCTGGGTGGCTCAGTCGTTAAGCATCTGCCTTCATTTCAGGTCATGATCCCAGGGTCCTGGGATCGAGCTCCACATCAGGCTCCCTGCTCTGCCAGAAGCCTGCTTCTCCCTCTCCCACTCCCCCTGCTTGTGTTCCCTCTCTCGCTGTGTCTCTCTCTGTCAAATAAATAAATAAAATCTTAAAAACAAATAAAAATAAAAAATTTTTAAAAAGATGTTACTTGAAGAAAAAAACATAAACAAAGTCTCTCATTTGACTGTTGAAGTTTATCAAATCACTTCTTTCAACACGGCAATCATGCAACACTTGCCATCACCAAGAACTGCTGAAGTATCTTCCCCTTCTCTTAGTATGAAACAGTCAAATAATGAGGCAATTGATGTGTAATACAGATTTAAGATAAAGAATAACTTAAAAAGTAGGCCACATTACAGTGGATCACCTTCCCCTTACCCCATGCCCCTGTTTCTATAATCTATAGGTGACCCCTGGGCAGATTCTCTCAGTGCCCATGATCCTAGATGGAGAATAGACAACTTCTGAGACTAAGTCAAGCCTAAAAAATGTGATGCGTCTTTGTCTAACTGCCAAACACAACTGACTGGACTTTATGCAGTGAATTTGTTTAGGTTTAATGGATAGGGGAAAGATTCAGTCAGGATACTCAGAACGTGTGATAGGAGGGGAATTAATTTAACACACTTTCCTTCAGATGTTTCTGATAGAAGAGGAGAAAACAGAATTTTTTAAACACAGACACATAAGCATATGTGCCTAGGAGGAAATTCTTACTCATGAGAGACTGCTATACATGCTAACCAACCAGTGGACTTAACACAGGAATCCAGACTGTTAAATTTGTTCCTTTCTTTTGCCTGACACCACCACACAGCCATTTTGCTCTTTTAGGCCATTACAACTGTGTAGTCTTAACCACTATATTGCTCTTTTTCCCAGCAGTCTCTTTCTTACTGTGCCACTAACCTAACGCTGTATCTCAAAATATGTTTTAATGCATTAATGTAAATGTATGAATGCTACAATATGAACATTATAACTAACAAGACAAAAATAATGAGGAAAAAAAGGATACAAAGAGAAGAAAATGAATTTGCCTACGGTTAAAAGGTAATGACAATGTTAGGATGAATTTAAGTTTCCCCACTCTTAATTTAGTGCTCATTTCACTATATCTGGATCTCAAATACTTTGACTAAAAGGACCGAATTCTTTTTTTTACTTTCACTTTTTTTTTCAAGTTCTTAAAAATGTAACACCACATCTTCTTAAATCCAATTCTGCAAATATTTACTAAGCTCCTATCATGTGTCAAATGCTATGCCAGGTGATGGCATAAAGATTTAAGGTACATCTTCACTTAAGGTACTAACAATATAAAAGCAAACAAAAAACAAATTATAATAATAGTGTGAAAAATACAACAGAGAAGGCTTCTCGGAGAAGATTTGTGAGCTAAGTTTTAAAGATACACAAGAAAGGTGTATAGAAGGTTGGGGTAAGAGTTCTGATCATTGAAGGACATTCTACAAGCTCCCCTACAGCCTTAATTTTAAAGAATGCTAGATCCCCCTCCTTGCCTTGACTGAAACTAGGTTTTTTCTCGAAGCCTTCTCAGGTAGGCACTGCTCATTCTCCCACACCCCTCACACCTCAGTATTCTTCTCATTTCTAGTGCTGGCTTGAGATCTTTACTTTTGCATTCTCCCATCTTTGTGGCTCACGTCATTTAGGGATATCACCCTTTTCCTTCCTTTTTACTGTCATCCACTGTCCTCAATCACTGAAGACTTTGGTTTTCCTCATTGCTCCAAGTCCTATGACCCTCTTATGCTACTTTAGTGTATATGGGGACCACCTATCTTATATCTCAATCCATCAGCTCTTTGACCTCATTAGCTCCTATGGCACTGACCTCCACTCTATTCCAGTACCTGTTACCATGACCACCCCCTTATTCTAAAATGACCCCAAATTGTCCATATCTGAAAATATTAAATCCAAACAGCTTACAGTCTGACTGCCAATTCCTATCTCCTTTATCTTTTAGTTCCTCCCTTCTCCCACAGTTTATCAAGCCTTTCCTTTTCTGCCTACACACCATGATGTACCACCTCAAAAACTGTTTGGTCAATACTTCTCATTCCCCCTCTATATGTCCATCCATCATACATACCCCATAAAACCTTCGTACAAAATTAATCCAGTGTATGACTTCTCCAATTCCGCACTCAAATTAAAAAACTGAAATAACTTTTTGCTACAAACTGTTTCTACCTCACCTAAGCCCTGAATACTTCCTGGCAATCTTTCTCCAACATCCTATGAAGAATTCTCTCACCCAATTCCAAAGTGGTTTTTCCAAACCACCTCCTCACTTCTCAAGTCCCTTCATCTACCCCAGCCTTGCTCCTTTTTCTCTAGAAGCATAAAGCTACACCTCTACCTCAGAAAGAAGAGAGTCATGACAGTTCCTTCAGCTTTCTGCCTTCTTCCACTCCAATATTTACTTAATAAATCCCATGAGCCCTTCCATCCACTTTCTTCCTTCTACTCTCTTTGCTAATATCTCCTAAATAGTCTTTCGATCATACTGTTGCCACCATGATCCACCTAATGTGAGACTCTTACTCCCAAACAAAATCTTTCACAATGACCACAATTATCTCTCACCTTGATTCCTTCCTCCTTCTTACACTGCACATGCCATCTCTCACCAAGTCCAGAAAGACCCTTTTTCTAAATATATTTCACATCTCTAAGCTCTTCTCCATCTCCAGTGCGATGACTACGCTCAAGCCACTAACATCTTGTACCTCCTAAATATCATCGCATTCTTTCTTACTCTACTGCAATCCTACAATAATCACATACCATCTACACAATTGCCACAATGACCTTTCTGAAGATGTCATAACTCTGCTTAAAAGTCTTTAATGATTTTAACGGCTCTCTGTAGAGAGCCTATCTAAATGAAGTTCAAATTCCTTACACGAGCGGCAAGGCCCTTTACAGTATGACCCCTAATTACTTTTCCAGGCTTATCTCTCATCACTCAAGCATATTTCATTAAATGTTCTGGCACTCGGCAGATGTTCCAGTAGACCTTGTGTATACCTCATAACACTTAACACATACACTGCAACCATCTATTTATTCTATCTCACGCAATGCATAGTAAACTCCTGGAAGGAATGAACATGTCTTATTCACTGTTGAATCCCCAATGTCTATCATAGTATCTAGAACACTGTAGACACTGAGTAAAATATTTGTTGAATGAATGATTGGAGATGTATGAAAAATGCATAATGTGCCTAAAGAACTATTAATTAGCTTATTAATGCTGAATTGATGAAAGCCAAAGCAACAGGCAATCCCAGATCATGAAGTACCTTGAATACCATTCAGAGAAGACTGAACTTTACCCCATCAGGAAGAATTCAGTAAAGCATTTTTAAGCCAACGACATACGTCATCAGATTTACATTTTAGAAAGATCAATGTAGTGAATAAATTAGACTTGGAGTAAGGAAGGTGATAAGAAAGCAATTGCAATAGTCAAGATGAGAGATGAAGGCATATACAAAAAGAAGAATAATGAAAGTAGAATATAGTCAAGTGAGATTTAAGAGACAGAGTAAGTAGAATTTACTAAGTGACTGAATATGAGAGGGAAGGATACGAAGGGAAAAGCAGGAATCCACTGCTTCTGAGCTAGGAATTGGGAAATAGAGAAGGCCATGCTTTTAAGAAGCTGAGCTGAGAAAAAGAGAAAAACTGCGGCTACAAGGGAATGCAAAGTCAAGGGAAGAAATTCAGAATGACAGGGACCTGAGCATCTTTATGAATTGAAAAGAAAGGACAGAAAAGGCAGAAAAACTGAAGATATAGAAGCAAAAGAGGTTACTTATAATAGATCAAGACCCCTGAGGTGAAGAGGAGAAAGGAATACTAGAGCATCAACAGAAAAATTATTCCTGAACAGAAGAAGGAATACTACCTCAAAGAGTAGAAAAGAAAGGATTGGTTGGGATGCAGACTCATTTATCAGGGAATAGATAAGCAAAGTAAGAAGCTAAGCTTAGTATGTGACAGAAAGCCACAGTTTTCTTGGTGACAAAGGAAGAGAGAGAATCTGATGAGAGGAAAGGGATCTTGAAGTTTAGGTGAAGAACCTGGGATAGGGGAGGCAAAGGTTTGGAATAGCTACTGAAGACACTAGGAGAAGAAACTGCTAAAAGATAGGTAAATGAATTGATAAGTAATATCTACAGTTGGTGACCCTAGTCTAAGCCACCATTATACAGGAAACCACACATTTACAGATATACCACTTCACTTAGTTTTTTACTTTTCTGGCAGGGCTAGCTACCTGGGTCTCAAATCAAGGCAGGAGGATTAAATGAATGCTATTCAGAGCAGAACAGACATAGTACAAAAAAGTGAGTCTAGGAAAGAACTAATGCTAGGAAAAATGCAAAGGATTAAAGGACTAGAGATCTTGATGTCAGAAGCAAAACACACTAATGAGAATGAAAATAAGAGAATCTGAAGCATAATCATATAATAAAATGATATGGTAGGATATTAAAGCTTAATATTTCAGAGCTAGAGTAGCAAAGTCTAAAATTACTACCATGGAAATCATTTGCTTTAGTGAAATAAAAAAATGAAATCCCCTAAAGCTGAAGAGGTCAAGGAACCACAAGGCTGCATAGTTCCAATGGCAATCGAAATCACCTAAGATGAACTGGGATTTATATGCTATAAAAATATTTAATACCTAGAAAGATATATACATCTTTAAATACAACTTACCCGTAATGATTCCATGTAAGATTTATGACAATCTATATGTAATGTGTGGCCACAGGTTTGTACATAAACACCTCCTTCCCAGCCAATTGATACTGCCAAGAGACAAGAACTCTTAAAAAAAAAAAAGACAAAATACAATTAATTTTAAAGAAACATAAGCATATTTAAATATATCCACATAAACCTCTGAATGATTTCATATTGTTATACTAATGTGAACTTTATATTTTTGTGATATAAAGTTAACACCTGACTTGAGAGTCATAAGGCAGTATCTTTAAATCTGAAACACCACAAAGTTTTAGCTTCCAAAAATCTAGGCTCATAATGAATGAGAGTAAATATAAATTACACTTTCTCCACCCCACGAAAAATAAACTCTCAATAAACTTTAGTGTAAACTATGCTGCTATTGATTATTTTACCTGTTCTATATGGTACTTAATCTCTCTGTGACATCTGACATTAACAACTTCTTTCTTTTCTTTTAATTCCAGTATAATTAACACAGTGTTATATTAGTTTCAGGTATACAGTAATAGTGATTCAACAGTTCCATACATCAGCCGGTGCTTATCACAAGTGCACACCTTAATTCCCATCATCTCTTTTACCCATCACCCCACCCACCTCCCCAGTGGTAACTATCAGTTCATTCTCTATAGTTAAGAGTCCATTTCTTATGCTGTCTCTCTCTCTCTTTCCTTTGCTCATTTGTTTTGTTTCTTAAATTTCACATAGGAGTGAAATCATACGGTATTTGTCTTTCTCTGACTTATTTTGCTTAGCATTATACTCTCTAGCTTCATCCATGTTGTAAATGGCAACATTTCATTCTTTTTTATGGCTGAAGGGGTTAGTATCCAAAATACATAAAGAATTTATACAAATTAACACCCAAAAAACAAATAATCCATTTAAAAAAATGGGCAGAGGACATGAACAGACACTTCTCCCAAGAATACATCCAGGGGCGCCTGGGTGGCTCAGTTGGTTAAGCGACTGCCTTCGGCTCGGGTCATGATCCTGGAGTCCTGGGATCGAGTCCCGCATCGGGCTCCCTGCTCAGCAGGGAGTCTGCTTCTCCCTCTGACCCTCTTCCCTCTCATGCTCTCTGTCTCTCATTCTCTCTCTCAAATAAATAAATAAAATCTTTAAAAAAAAAAAAAAAAAAAAAGAATACATCCAGATGACCAACAGACACATGAAAAGATGCTCAACATCATTCATCATCAGGTAAATGCAAGTCAAAACTACAGTGAGTTATCGCCTCACACCTGTCAGAATGGCTAAAATCAAAAACACAAGAAACAACAGGTGTTGGCAAGAATGTGGAGAAAAAAGGAACCCCCGTGCACTGTTGGTGGGAATGTGATAGTACAGCTGCTATGGAAGACAGTACAGAGGTTCCTCAAAAAGTTAAAAATAGAACTATGCTATGATCCAGTAACACTACTGGGTATATACACCCAAAATACAAAAGTCCTAATTCAAAGGGATACATGTGCCCCTACGTTTATAGAAGTATTATAATTATGGAAGCAGCCCAATTGTCCATCGATAGATGAATGGATAAAGATGTGGTATACACACACATACACATACACACACACACAATGGAATAACAACTTCTTTCTTAAAACGCCTACTTCCCCCTGGCTTCCATAATGCTACTCTCTTTTGATTTTCCTCTGATCTCTTTAAACCATTTGGTTTAGGCTTCCTTTTAAGACTTTTTTCGGGGCACCTGGGTTGCTCAGTCATTAAGCGTCTGCCTTCGGCTCAGGTCATGATCCCAGGGTCCTGGGATCGAGCCCCACATTGGGCTCCCTGCTCCGCGGGAAGCCTGCTTCTCCCTCTCCCACTCCCCCTGCTCGTGTTCCCTCTCTTGCTGTGTTCTCTGTCAAATAAATAAATAAAATCTTTAAAAAAAAAAAAAAAGACTCTTTTTTCTTCACCTGTCCCTTCAGTATTTATACTCCTCAAGGTTCTATTTTTTTTGTGCTACTCTCTTCTTACTAAAACTGTTCTCCCTGAGTGATTTGATCAGTAAATTCAACTACCTTCCAAACTTGGATCGCTTGCCTCAGTGACAGATACAAATACTCAACTGCCAAGCAGAAATCTCTAGTTTGATGTCCCTCAGATAACATAAAACAATGTGTCCTGGGGCGCCTGGGTGGCTCAGCTGGTTAAGCATTGCACTCTTGATTTTGGCTCAGGTCATGATCTTAGGGTCCTGAGATTAAGCCCCATGTCAGGCTCCATGCTTAGCTGGGAGTCTACTTAAGATTCTCTCCCTCTGCCCCTTCCACTGCATGCAAGTATGAGCTCTCTCTAAAATAAATAAGTAAAATCTTTTGTTTTTTTCCACAAATGTGGCATAAGTTTGTCATTTTTTTCCATGAATCTTTCTTTTCCTCTTGGTTTAAAAACTCCACAATCTCTTTAGTCATCAAATCAGAAAACTAAGAGTCATTCTACCTCACACTCTTTCCTTCACACCACAGTATTAGCTCCCAAACCACACAGATTCTATCTCCTAAATAACTTGTGATTTTGGCCCCTCCTCTTTGTTCCCACTACAACATTCATGTCTGTATCATTTGTTGTGGGGGAGTGGGTTCTTTAATAAAGTTTTTTTTTAAAGATTTATTTATTCGAGAGAGAGAGAAACCCCATGCGCAAGCATGCAGGTGGGATGGGGGAGGGGTGGGGAGGGAATGAAGGAGAGAGAGAATCCCAAGCAGACTCTCCACTCAGCAGGGACCCCACATGGGGCTTGATCTCATAACTCTGAGATCATCACCTGAGCCGAAATCAAGAGCTGGTCACCTAACCGACCAAGCCACCGAGGCACCTCTTCAGTAAAGTTTTTTAACTGGTCTCCGTGACTCCAATTTCTCTCTGCATAATGCATCACCCTCCATACATTTTTCTAGACTACAAATTTGGGTTATCATAAGATAACCCCAAAAGGTACCTTAACATTTACAAAGGTTTAATATAATAGGCAATAAAGAAGAGACCCAGATTATATAAGCAACTACAATACCCTTTTGAAATCTGTTCTAAAAGTTAATTGCTTTTATCTCCTCTTTCTCTCATATCTTCAACTTACCCTTCTCTCCTTCTCTACTAATTCCTTCCCTTCAACCTGTAAACAGGCTTAGACTTCTCCTCCTAAAATAATTTTCTTTGAATTTTCGTTTGGCCTCTGTCAAACAACACTTGCGCCTGAACTTCAGTTTACCCTCTAGAGTCTGAAGTAAACAGATGGCCATGCCACAGCAATATTGGGAACCAAGTCCATCATAAGGGACAGCACTTGATGAAAGATTTGAAAGCCATTAAAACTGAGTACACCTTTAAACTTTATTTTTACATTGAAATGAAATGTTTACATGATAATGTAAGATAACCAAATAATCTTTAAACAACAGTAAACAAAATTCCAATGTTAAATCAAGACTCTTCATGAGTAACTGAAAGTTGAAAACATTACATAGTGCAAAACGCCTTCCTAGCCAATTTAAAGATGTGTAACAGCACAAATCAAATACAGCAGGTGAGCTAGCTTCTATTGTTACAAATAAGAAAAGCAACAGAGACCTGCTTATCTCTGTTTTATGTTTTGGAGCCACTTGAAGTAGCAGCAGACTTAGGTCATTTTAGAATGGTTGGCAGTCAGCTAATAAACAAGCTGCTCTCTTGGCAATGTATTATAAAAACATAATTAATCTTTCTTTTTAATAAAGGCAGCTTTCAAAACTAAAATCAGGGGGCACCTGGATGGTGCAGTCAGTTGAGCGTCTGACTCTTGGTTTCAGCTCAGGTCATGATCTCAGGGTCTTGAGATCAGGCCCCCCACATCGGGCTCCACGCTCAGCATGGAGTCTGAGACTTACCCTCTCCCTCTGCCCCTTCTCCCCTTGCTCTCTCTCTCTCAAATAAATAAGTAAATCTTTAAAAAAAAAAAAAAGCCAAACTAAAATCAGAACATCATTTGTCTATGTAACTGTTAGACTTCTTATATGAATCAGATAGAATTTTAAAAAGGCAGAAAAACATTTACTAACACAAGACTAATATTTTAGAAAAACTTCAATGACATGCCCACCACTGTGCTAAGAACTGCTTAATGCTGAATCCTCACAACCTCAGTATTTATTAAAACCTTACAAAAAAGGAATGAAAAGTTTAGCAAGATCACACAATTATAAATGGCAGAGCCCCAGTTCAAACCCAAGTCTACCTGACTCCAAAGCTCAGGTTCCCTTCCTACTGGGTCCTGTCTCTCATATATCATACTCCAAGTTTCAGCAGCAGTACTATCTTGCATGACTAAAATTCTATAGGTTAACTCTGTAAAATGCATGCAACTGATGTGAAGAGAGCAGAGTCTACACAGTTCAATTCTGTAATCAAAATCAGTGCCTATTAATAGTAACTCTTCTGCTGTACACAGTCCGCCTACAAAACTCTCGTACTCTATACTAGAGTAATTCAGTAAAAAATCTAGTAAGCATCTACAACGCACACAGCAAATGCTAGGCCCTGAGGGAACCATAAAACCAATGTAAGAGAACAGCCCTACACCTCTAGAGGTATACAGACCTGGGAGCAAGCCAGATATACATAAAATAACCACGATGAAAGTAAAAAAGTATTGTGTAAAAATATATATATTTAAGAATAAAATCCCACATCACTGACAGACACACAATAGAGATTTTCTGTTCAATTCAGATTTCAGTTCAGGGTTCTTACAAAAGAGATTTTCTTCTGGATATGAATAACTATTCCGGCTGCTTTAAGAAAGAGATACCATACTCTTTCTCTCCTTTATTAGATCTCCCCTTCCCTCAAACTTATTTTGCTCTTAAGTCCGGGTTATATTTTCATTGAATCAAGTTATTTTGCTTTTCTGTTTGGCTCTAGGATTCATCTCTACTCATCTACTCTAAAGTGATTCAAAATGACAAAATTAAAACCAGGATTATGGCAACAAAATAAAATCTAAATAAAGGTGGTAGTATATTTCTGCAAAAGGAGAACTTAGCATGATTTAATCATTTTCTTCAAAATGAAGATATTTATTGGTCTATAATTAATAAAGTAATATATATATGCTGCAAAAATTCAAAGAAACAATAGAGAATAAAGAAAAAAGTGTGAAAATGTGTGCATGTGTGCATATGTATGCACACACACACACACACACACACAGAGGCTTCTTTTTACAAATAATAATAACTTCATTTTAAAGCCTCTGAAAATCTATGGAAGCATGGTCCTCATTACCTAACCCAAACTGCCTTATAAGGCCTACCTAACCTGAGCCCTTTGAAAAGGCTAGCTTGAATATTAAAAATTTCACTATACATTTATACTGACCTTTATAATGTGTAAAGTGATCTAAGAAATTTTTAACCTGGTAGGTGACTGTATGAAAGGCCACATGAGCCCTATTTTATAGCTGAGGAAAGTGAATCCTAGACTTTATCTGGCAAGCTTACATTCCTAAGACCAAGCCCCAGCTTTCTCAACTGGAACTCTTTCTACTCTACACAATACCTCCCTAACTAGAGCCATCATCTCCTCCAGAACCCGCCAGAACCCTTCTCCTCAGTCCAGACTACTGAACCACATCCTATTCTGATGTTCATCATTACTAGGTCAGTTATTGTTTATTCTAATTAAGTATTTTGTCTTCCACCTCTCCTATGAGTTTCTTCCATTTACTCCAGTGCATTAAGGGCAAAAAGAATTATATTTGGAAATCTATCAAGATATTCATCTCATGTACCTAACTAAAAATATTTCAGTATGTATTTTAACTATTTTAAGTTCTTATTACATGTGTACTTAATTCAAGATACAGCAGATCCAAAAAACAACAGGTAAAAGGAAACCCTGTTTGATAATCCACTGAGAAAATATTAAAAATGGTACAGAAATTTTACAAGGAAGTTAACAGTGCAAGTGCTACTAAATAAATAAAGTTGATCTTCCAAGACTTAGAACACCTCAGTGCCATTAGATAGAACCCCTAAGTGCAAAGAGTTGGGAAAAAACCTACCAAGTTCACAAGAAACCACAGAAGTCATGAATTAAATCTGCCCCTACTTTATATTTTTAAAACATCATAATGAGATCTTATTGTATATCTTTAAATGAAAGTAAAAGAAGGAGGCAAAAATCTTCATAAAATATTCACGCCAAATCTAAAAGTTTTTATAGAGTGAATACTTATCATTCCATTGAACTGAATGTGTATATCTCACAATAAACAACATTTAAAACATAGGTATAACATTTATAACCTGAAATTTTTATTTATTAACAGATTTCCATTTCTTTACTATCCATATATTAACTTTTTTTCTAATAAACTTCAATATTCCAAATCAGAATGACATTTGATAGAAGAAAAAATATAAAACTCTGGAGAGAAGTAACCATCAATTTTGCAGACAAAAATACTGTATGATAAAAGGGTACTTACATCCTTAAAATAACGCTGTAATAATGAAAGTCTCACATCATGAACTGCTGCACATGTATCCCAAGGGTAAATCTGCTCCTCTTCAGTGATAGGCAATTTTTTTGGCTCAATGTTGTCACGGCACTGCCCCAAAACTATATTAACAATAAAAATAAGAGCTCATTAAATAACCAACCTGATTCAACATGATTCACCAAAAGTTGTTATTTATCACACAAGCTATCCTAATTTTTCTACTATTAGAATATTTTTTAAAGACCCCCCCAAAAAGTGATATTCTAGTTTCTTCTACAGAGTAAATAAAATATGACAGGGGTGCCTGGGTGGCTCAGTTGGTTAAGCCACCAGTTGGTGAAGTTAATTAGTTAAACCAATTCTTGGTTTCAGCTCAGGTCATGAGCCCCGCATCATGTTCCATGCTCAGTGTGGAGTTTGCTTGAGATTCTCTCTCTCTCTCTCTCTCCCTGTCCCTCTGCCCCTCCCCACCTGTCAAATAATTTTTTTTAAGTATGACAATATTTGGTTTTTTGAAATAACACTAAAATATTAGTATGATATTTGGATGTATGGATGGATGGATGATCAACTGATCAATGGAGGATGAATGGTTTTCAAAATCTGTCCACTGAAAAAGCCTAGAAGTTATGATTCTCCAGTATCAATAAACTTCAATTCTAAATATACTATTTCTCACTAAAAGGAAACAGAGATCGTTGGAGAAAAAACTGTACCCAGGGTTGGGGAAAAGTTCAAGGGGAGCCTGGAATGTAATAAAGAGCAAGAAGGTATTCAAACACAGAGGGGCCACATCATGAGGACCTGCAGGAGTTCTGGTGGCCAAATTCGAGATAATTTGAGTATTGAAAAGAATAATAGTAACAGATAACACATGCATTGATTCAGGCAAGGAACATCAAGTAAAAGGGTGAAGTGTCAGAGTCTCATTGTATCATCCTAGAGATTACCTACCACCATAACCAAGCGATCAAACTTGGTTGGCATTACCAATAATGAGACAAACTGTCACTATGAGCCTCCTAATGTGATGGAATGGGAAGGAACATCATTTATATAATGCCATTGTCAAAAATGTTTAACTTAAACCTAATAAGGAAATAATCACATGAATCCAGAAAATGAAATATTCTACAGAACAACTGACCTAGGCTCTTCAAAATGTTAAAAAAGGGCCTAGAGAAACTATTTTAGATTCAAGGAAACTAACAAGAAATGACAACTAAAGGGCACCTGGGTGGCTCAGTCTGTTAAGTGTCTGCCTTTGGCTCAGGTCATGATCCCAGGGTCCTAGGATCAAGCGCCACACTGGGCTCCCTGCTCAGCAGAACGTCTGCTTTTCCCTCTGACTCTCCCCTCCCCCCAGTCCCCACCTTGTGCTCTCTCTCTCAAATAAATAAAATCTTAAAAAAAAAAAAAGAAATGACAACTAAATGCAATGCATGATCTTTTTCTTGAACCAAGAAAATGTCTGTTATAAAAAAAATTATCGGAAGAATGTGAACATATTAGATTTTAATATTAAATTTCTTAGGTATAATAATATAAAAGAATATCCTTGTTCTTAGCAGATACATTCTTAAGCATTAGAGATAAAACATGACATCTGCCATTTTCTTCTAAAAAAGATGTGTGCGTATGCGTGTGTGTGTGTGTGTGTGTATAGATAAGAAAGGGAAAGAAAAACAAACATGGCAATATGTTAACAATTGTTGAGTGCAGGTAAAGAGTATTCTGTAGATATAAAACTTTCAAAATGAAAAGTTGGGAAAAGAGGTACATAGCAAGAGGGAAAAAATAATACTAAGATTTTATAATTGTAAAATATCAGACAAAAAAAGGGGGGGATATAAACATACAGTGCCATACATTACTATAAGACTCAGTAAGCATGGGAAGAACATTTTTCAGGAAGGAATATCAGGTATATGAATGTGGGCCTTAAGTTCTGAAGAGATTTACAGCAGCAGCAGAAAGAAGAAATAGAAGCAGGGAGATGCTAGGAACTAAAATAAAATTAGCTATAACGTATAATCCTCTTAATACATTGTTGGATTTGGCTTGCTAGGATTTTGTTGAGGATTTCTGCATCTATATTCCTAAGAGATACTAGGTCTATCATTTTTCTTTTCTTATGATGTTTTTATGTGGCTTTGGTGTCAGGGTAAGGCTGTTAATATAGAATGAGTTAGGAAGTATTCCCTCTTTCTTTCTTTTTTTTTTTTTTAAGTTTGAGAAGGAGTGATGTTAATTCTTTAAATGTTTGGTAGCATCATGAGTGACGCTTTCTGGTCCTGGGCCTTTATTTGTTGAGAAGTTTTTGATTACTGATTCACTCTCTTTAACTATTTAATGCCTGTTCAAATTTTCTGCTTCTTCTTGAGTCAATTTTGGTAGTTTGTGTTTCTAGGAACTTATCCATTTCATCTAGGATATCAAATTCATTGACATAAAATTGTTCATAATATTCTTTTATAGTCTTTTATTTCTTTAAGGACTGTGGTGATGTTCACACTTTCATTTCTGGTTTTAGTGATTTGTGTATTTTTTTATTCCTGGCCAGTCAAATTGTAAAACTGTCAATTTTGATGATATTTTCAAGAAACCAACTTTTGCTGACTCTTTCTGTTTTCCTATTCTCTATTTCATTTATCTATGCTCTAATATTTATTATTTCTTTCCATCTGCTAGCTTTGGGTTTAGCTTGCTTTTCTTTCTCTAGTTCCTTAAAGTGTAAAGTTAGGTCACTGATTTGGGATCTTTGTTTTTAATGTAAACATTTACAGCTATAAATTTCCTTCTGTGCACTATTTTCCCATAGGGTTTTTTTTTTTTTTGCAGTTTATTTTATTTTATTATGTTATGTTAATCACCATACATTACATCATTAGTTTTTGATGTAGTGTTCCATGATTCATTGTTTGCGTATAACACCCAGTGCTCCATGCAGTATGTGCCCTCTTTAATACTCATCACGAGGCTAACCCATCCCCCCCCGAACCCTCAGTTTGTTTCTCAGAGTCCATAGTCTCTCATAGTTCATCTCCCCTATTTTCCCATAGGTTTTGGTATGTTGTGTTTTCATTTTCATTTATTTCAAAGTATCTTCTAATTTCACTTGTAATCTCTTCTTGGACCCAGTAGTTGTTTAAGAATGTATTATTTTAATTTCCACCTATTTGGAATTTTACAGTTTTCCTTCTGTTACTGATTTCTAGTTTCATTCCATTGTGATCAGAGAGGATACTTTGGATAATTTCAATCTTTTTAAATATATTAAGACTTCGTGACCTAATACAGAGTCTATCTTGGAGAATGTTCCATGTACAAATGCGTATTCTACTCTCGTTGGATAAAGCGTTCTATGTAAGTTGGTTAGATCTAACTGTTTTATACTGTTGTTAAAATGGTTTGTTTTTGTTTTTGTTTAATTTAGAGAGGGAGGGAGAGAGAGGTAGGGGAAAAAGGCAGAGGAAGGGGGAGAAAGAGATTCCCAAGCAGGCTACACACTCAGCATGAGCCCAACATGGGTCTCGATCTCACAGCCCTGAGATCCCACAACGCTGAGATCATGACCTGAGCCAAAATCAAGAGTTAGGAGGCTTAAACGACTGAGCCACCCAGGTACTGCTGAAGTGTTTTCTTTTTTTGATCTTCTGTTTAGTTGTTTTATCCATTATTTAAGATGGGGCACTGAAGTCTCAACTATTATTATAAAACAACTTCTCCCTCTAATTCTATCAATTTTTGCTTCATATATTTTGGGTTTTTGCTGTTTGGTGTATTTTTTTTAAGATTATTTATTTTGAGAGAGAGAGAGAGCATGAGGAGGGGCAGAGGGAGAGGGAAAGAGAATTCCAAACAGATTCTGCACTGAGCACAAAGCCTGACAGGGGGCTCAATCTCACAACCCTGAGATCATGACCTGAGATCACGACCTAAGCCAAAACCAAGAGTCAGATGCTTAATCCACTGCACCACCCAGGTGCCCCTGTTTGGTATGTATTATGTCTTTAAAAAAAAAAAAAAAAGACTTTATTTATTTATTTGAGAGAGAGACAGAGAGAATAAGCAAGGGCAGTGCAGAGGGAGAGGGAGAAGCAGACTCCCGGCTGAGTGGCAGAGACTGACATGGGGCTCGATCTGAGATTATGACCTACGCCAAAGTCAGACACTTAACCAACTGAGCCACCGAGGCACCCCTGGTATGTATTATATTTATAACTGTTATATCTTCTTGTATGTATGTATTATATTTATAACTGTATTATATTTATATTATAAATATACAGTATGTACGTATGGTTTGTATTATATTTATAATGTATTATATTGGTATGTATTATATTTATAACTGTTATATCTTCTTGATGGAGTGACTCATTTAGCAATATATAATGCCCTTTTTGCTCTTGTGACAATGTTTTGCTTAAAATCTATTGTGTCTGATATTAGCATAGCCATCCCAGCTCTCTGTTGTTTCTATTTGCATGGAATAATTTTTCTCATCCATTTTCAACCTATCTGTGTCTTTGGATCTAAAATGTCTCCTATAGACATCATATTCATGTTTTTTAGTCTATTCTGTCAGTCTCTTTTAATTGGAGAGTTGAATGCATTTATATTTCAAATAATTACTGATTTAGAAGGACTTAATTCTGCTTTTTTGCTTTTTATTTCTGTATGTTCCTCAATTTGTTTATTACCACTTTCTATTGCGATTAAGTGAATATTCTAGTTTACCATATTGATTCCCTTTATCATTTCTTTTCTTTTTTAGGTTTTTCTTAGTTACCCCTTAACTTTCTAACAGTCAGGTTGGAAACATTAATATCAACTTCCAATAGTATACAAAAATTCTGCTCCTTTACAGCTCCATCTCCCCTCCTTGACCTTCATGTTTTTAATCTGACTCTCTGCATTTTTCTATAAGAACACTGATATTTGATTTAAAAAGCTCAATCTGCAGGTCTTCCCAGAGTCAGTTCCTTCTTATTACATGTTTTTTGTTTATTACATGTTTTTTAAAGCACTAAGACTAAAACACTGACTTTCTTAAGTTTTGCAAAGACTGTGGTTATTAATAAAATGTAAAAGATTATATAACATTGTATTCAAT